ATTCCAGGACAGCCAGCCGATACTCGTCCCAAGTTATATCACATGGCCCGCTCATCTGGCTTACCCCCATCGGATATATATATAATGTAGCCATCGAGACGCGCTCCACCTCTGCTCGTCCACGATATAATTGCTGGCATCCATAACGCTGATGTATTTATGGCATTAACTCGCCTTCTCGTACACAGCCGCACCGCCCCCGAAGAAACCCTCGCCAATACACAGCCACACTATGGGCCCGAGCTACACTCCACGTCATGCAACCACAAGTAGAAATAATTGGTTGAAAACAGCGTTCTCCTCAGCCAGCAATATATCCAGCTTACTCCCCGCTGTCGCATCGCTTAGATCACTTCCCTCCGCAAGCGCCAACACCAAAAACTCGCCAGAGTCACCACATCCTATCCTCCTCTTCCTCTTTACTCACTCTCCAACCGGCACAAGATGCCGAGATTGTCCCTTCATCTTTTTTTTATATCACCCTGCCACCCTACCACCCTACCACCCTACCACCCATCAACCCTTTTTATTTATTCATCCTTCTCTCATTCTTATTCACCTTTTCCTACCCCATCGCAGCCATTTGTGCATACTTATCATTTGAATGCCTCTTATTTATGAAAATTGAATTGAATGCCTCACATTTATGATGGTAATTGGTGACCCATTGGAATATCTCCATGCACTCCAACATATCCTTCTTTATTGCCACTGAATGCGGTACGTCAATAATTATTCTCGTCCACATCAATTATCATGGGAATTTCCCTATTTTCTCGCGAGTTTCATTAATTCGGATGAACATATGTTTCACGCTTTATGAGGATTCTCCTATGTGGTGAGTGGTTTTATGGAGATCTAGTGGGGAGATAAAATTGTGTACTTAAAGACAATGCGAATAAATGTTTTGGATTTTCAGGATCATCCGGTAATAATGTAGGGGAGTTGAGGGGACTCGGGGAGTGACTTTTTTTTTATCGGTTTCCGGCATTCGGCGGGACAGGGGGACAAGGGGTATCCGATTACTTGGAGACGCTGCATCAAAGGTGGAGGTTTTTTTTTTAGGAGGTGCTTTTTTCGAAAAAAAAAAATTGAAAAAAAAAAAGGTGTTTCTGATTTTTTTTAACGGAAGTCCACCCCAGAAGTGATAGTCCCCCAAACGTTAAATACGTCTTGACCATCACTCGAAACCCAAGAATATCTCCGATAAACCTCAGCCCTACAATTCGATAAATTTAATTGGCAAGACAGCCGGTTTCATAACCCGAAGCTGAAACTGCAGAACCTCTCGCGAGATAACGTATTTTTTCATACGGTATGGAGTAGATGGGACATGTTCACCATATGATGCGCCATAATTTACAAGCGTGTAGCATTACCCGAAGAATCTCCAAGGATTTTTTTTTTCCAAACCTAAAAACCAGAATGACAGACACATTCATGAATTGCCCTGTCTGTCCAATAATGTTGAAGTGGACATGCCCTCCCTCGATCAGGCAATCTCCCCGGGTAAGACGAAGAGGACGAGTTGCCACGACGAAATGAGAATAAAGACGACGACAAAATGAAGAATTAAAATAAAAGGAAGGTAAATCGAGTGAAATAAAAACGATGCAACGAAGATATGCAAACGTTCTGGCATCCGACAGTTGTACATAACTCAACGGGCACGTACGAGCACACGGGATCGGCCAGCACTTGGGCGTTCCGTTGAGGACACTATAAACCTCGATACCGGGCGAATAAAATGCCGGATTTACAGTCCTGATACCAAGGTAGACGCTCAACCCTGTCCTCCCTGTTTGTCCCTGTCTTCTCCTGAATCGAGCGTTTATACATCCTCTCCTCGCGCCCCGGTGTGGGTTGGCTCATCAGGGAGATGGGTAATGTTGCCGACAACCTATTCGGCATGCTACACATGCCACAACTTTGCCACATGTTTTTTTTTTCTCATCATTCATAATAAAAAAATCACCGGTTTCAATGATAAAACCCAGTGTTCAACCCTTCGTCATTCACGTTGAATAAAATATTCAGCAAAAATAAATATTCATCATTTTATTATTTTAATTTGAAGAGAGTGAAAATGAAAGTGATGGTGGCAATTGATAAAAGTCGAAATAATGAAAATAAATATGTTAAAATGAGTTGAAATATATGACGACAGTGTTATCAAGTCTTACTCTGCAAACCTGAAATTCGAGAAAAAACCTCCTGCATTATGCCTCCCCCACAGGCAAGGTAAACCTTGTTCCGATATCCTTTTGAGGACCACCAATAACCCAGTGAGATAGCAGCTGTCTCCTCCTGACTTCTATATAACCCAGTGATACTTTAACACACAGTGACAACATTGACGCACCGCAGGTGTCTCTAACTCACACATATGCATGCCTCCACCAGTGGATATTGGGCCTCATGATCAATGACAAACAATCACGAATTATGTATGCCCGAGGTGATATATTTAATGTCATGCTCGGCGAACAAAAACCGTGGAACACATTCGGGAAAATGAATAAAAAGAAAATTAACGGAGGGCTTTTGCTCCTGTGGACACCACGTAGCGAGTAGTCAAGTGTATACGAGGACATCTTCTTCGTGTATCATAAATAAACCCCGTGTCCAATCGCATTTCTCATTCTTTATATCTTCCCTCCTCTCGCCCCTTTATTTCTTCATTTTTCCATTCGTATTGGTCTCGTCTCATTCCAATGAAACCAAAATGTCCAGTGGGTGAGAGTGTGTGCTGCGGGAATATATCAATCCGTCGACGGAATTAATAATTCGGCGGGATATGGTATTTCTCGTAACCCGAGGTCTTTTCTCCTGAGGACGTCCCAGAGATCCTGCCACTAAACAAATCGTCGACTATTTTTTATTTTTATTTTTATTCTTTTATAATAATTTTAGTAATAAATATAGTCATTTCTAGACTTATCGTCAAAATTCAATATCAAATGAAAAAAGCTCTTGAAAGCGTCGAAAATTAAAAAAAGTTATTGCCGCGATTTTCAATATTTTCACAATACTTTCAGAAGCCGATAATGCCTGCACTCGAAAATACAATTACTTGCGTATTCAAAGAATTAATTTGTAATGAAAGTCAATGAAATGTTGTTTAGCTATTGGGAATTTCGCATATAATTCCGTGGCAGTGAATCAACAACCGATTGGTGTATTAAATCTGTCGGTTATATCTGGATACACATAAAAATGTATTCACCGATTGGACCAAACACTCGTCCCAGGGTGATCTATGTATCTGGTTGTGCTCTTCTGAAGTTTTGAACCACCGACCAACCGTGTCCGTCTCTCTTCTCCCCTTCCTCGGGTTGGTTACTTTATTATCAAGCTTCAAATGAGAATTTATGCAGACATAAACGCTCGTGTCAGCGAAGCGCACCACTGTTGAGAGCCTTCGGTAGAGAAAACGCCAAGCTGCATCTATCATTTTTATTTTAATGGATTTGCCAGGTTTTTTTTTTGGGAGGAAGAGGCGCTGGAGAATCTACATGTGATCCCGGTTATTTATGCGAAGGCTCTGCGTATAAAAAAAAGCCAATGACTGGAGAATGATTCCAGGGGATTTGTCAGGGGTAACCATCAGCTGCAGTCATCCAGAGGAAATGTGGAGAAACTTCATTCGGTTATTTATTTTTCCACTTTGGCGAGTCTAATTAGGAAGAGGAGGAGTAATTCCAAGATAATCAGTTTGACTCCATGAAATCTGGGGTTGATCGGTGGAACAAGTATTTCCATCATTTATTCAAAATAATGGGAAATTATCAAGACAAAAAATTGGCCAATTGTTGAGATTTTAATTACTAATACGCACTTGAGATTAAGTGAAAGGTCCGATGATGACGATCCACCTACAAACTGGGGAGAATTTTAACGGAAAAAATGGCCATTTGATTTACAATAAAAATCCATTGAATTTATTGGATGAGAGAAATGCCAGTGATGAAAAAATAAAGCTACACATAAAGGGAAATTAATGTACTCAGTACTTAATCATTTTCCCGTGTGTTTGCAATACTTTTGCCATATAAATTAGTGTCACATCGTGAAACGATGTTGCGTGGGTGTCAATATCCCGTCGATATATTTTCCAGTCAACTGAAATCATAAAACGCTTCTCCACTCGATGATTTTCTCTCGCTGTCTACCATAAAACCATTCGCATAATTATATGCCTGTTAACGAATGAACTATCACCACAACCAAGTAGACACTCTCGTGATTTATGCAATGCTCTCTTATTTTAGAGGGGTATGGAGCATATATACTTACGAGTGTGCACACACCCGTCGCCCTGATAAGTGTCTCCGATAATATGCTAATAATGATTTATGGGTGACATACAACTTCCGCATTAATCCAATTAAACGACTAAAGCCCATTTTCTGCGAATGATTTTATGATTCTAGAGTTTTCAGATTTACTCAGGGAAAACATTCGTGGAAATTGATAACTCGTTTATTTTTCGGGCAGTATATTGAGATAAAATAGATGATTGAAAATATTCTATTCAGTTCAATGAACTTTTTCAATTATGCTGTGAGGGAATCAGTCGAGCTAATTAAAAGGTATTTACAGTCCGATGTAATGGACAACTCTGTGTTTCGGACAAGTGTCACTTCTACTAATTTCGACTATGAATTTTCCATTTTTCCATTTTTTTTCAATTTGCGATTTTTCTAGACCCTTCGGAAAATCTATAAGTCGATATTTTTCTCTCCATCCTAGCGCAAAAATGGCCCCAATTCGTCATCCCCGTGGTATTTTTTTTTTTTGAATTTCTTCTCGAAAATTAAAAAGTTGGACAGTCGGACAGCTGGGTATCACTGGGTAACAGGTTCTTTCGGCAAGTGCTGCCTCCCACCGACTGTTAAACAATTTGTTGAACTAAAGAGATTGAGTTTGTTGAGTTTGGAGGGTTTGAAGCATAGCGCTGAGATCGCAGTTTTCCCGGAGAGAGCGTCCTCCATCCGCCATCTTTTAGTTGACGAATCTCCCTGAAATACCGTGGACGCAGCAGGCAAAAGCTAGCTGTAACGTGTTGTGTGCCAGTGCTTGTGTGACTCATTCGACTGCATCCCGGAATCGATTTATCAGGAAAAGGGAACAATTCAATACAAATTGAAACGGTGAGTCACTTCAATATTGAAAATAACCGATTGATACTCAAAATAATCGGGTACTTTTAACTCGTGTTTACGCCTGGGTGTGTCAAAGTGATCTCAATCCCCTTCTCTTCAACCTATACCCTGTACGCCCTGTACCCTGAGTCCTCTGACGCCAGCGCGTACAGATTGTCAGAAAATGGTGATGCATTACTCCAAAGGCCCTTTGTTGTTCACCCATAACTATTACGCGTACTCTCATTCCGAATGAATAAATCAGCATTCCTTCCGAGAATCGCACACCATTATTTGCCACCCCCCAAGGTTCAGTGGTCTCTTATCTATTTTGTTGCATTTTCTGGACACTTCAATGGCAAATAAGATGTTCGAGCGTCGGTTCATGCGCGCGTTTTCTACGATTTTTTTTTTCATTTAGGTGTTTTTTTTTCTTTTTATTGGTGATAAAATTTGGGGGAAGGGAAATTTTGCACTCGGTATGAGGCTCCAGTTCGGGATCAGTCGATGCACCAAGATTCGGAATTTGGAGTAAAAATTCGGAGAAACGCCTCGGAGGAGTATTTATTCCTTAACCTTTTCGACGGGATTTCAGGGGTAGGATTACTCTGGTGCCTGCAGGGTGGGTAATTACATTGTTATCGGGTTTAATGGGCTCGGTTCATTTGTTTCGGACTTGTTGGATTTTATCTTTATTCGCTGCATTGTGAGGGAATTACGCATGAAGTTTTAAGGTATAATGATTTATCGCAATTTTCCCAAATTAATTGATTAATTAATAGAATGGGATATTAGAATATTAAATATCGAGCGTTTGGTAGCAGAAGGACGTACGTGACTTATTGACCCTCAACTCCAAAAAATTTCAGGTGTGGACAGTGTCACCCGTTGGAGCAATGTCTTACCCAATGTCGTCGAACCAGTCGCGACCAGTATCCCACGGGAACTACCAGGGGCCATGTGACCTACCAATGGGTTCGTCAAAGGAGCAAACCCTGATGTGGCAGCAGAACTCATACATGGGTGATTCTGGAATCCACTCTGGAGCAGCGACTCAGGCACCCTCGCTCTCTGGTAAAGAGGATGACGAGATGGAGGGCGACCAGTTGATGTTCGACCTGGACCAGGGTTTCACCCAGAGCCTCACCCAGGACCAAATAGACGAGGTGAATCAACAGCTGAGTCACACACGTTCCCAGCGTGTGCGAGCAGCAATGTTCCCTGAAACCCTGGAGGAGGGAATTGAGATCCCCTCGACTCAATTCGATCCTGCCCAGCCAACAGCTGTCCAGCGATTGGCAGAGCCCAGCCAGATGCTCAAACACGCTGTTGTCAACCTGATAAATTACCAGGACGATGCTGACCTGGCGACAAGAGCTATTCCAGAATTGATAAAGCTACTGAATGATGAGGATCAAGTGGTGGTGTCACAGGCTGCCATGATGGTCCATCAGCTGTCGAAGAAGGAGGCGTCTCGTCATGCCATAATGAATAGCTCCCAGATGGTGGCAGCTCTAGTCAGAGCTATCTCCAACAGCGATGATCTGGAGTCGACGAAAGCTGCTGTGGGAACTCTTCACAATTTATCCCATCACAGACAGGGTCTTCTCGCCATATTCAAGAGTGGAGGAATTCCTGCTCTTGTTAAACTCCTCAGTTCTGGAGTTGAGTCAGTTCTCTTCTACGCCATCACCACTCTCCATAATCTACTGTTGCATCAGGATGGCTCCAAAATGGCTGTTCGTCTTGCTGGAGGATTGCAGAAGATGGTTGCACTATTGCAACGTAATAATGTCAAGTTCTTGGCCATTGTTACTGATTGCCTCCAGATTCTGGCGTATGGCAACCAGGAGAGCAAACTTATCATTCTGGCCTCACAGGGACCTATCGAACTCGTTAGGATCATGAGGTCTTATGATTATGAGAAGCTCTTGTGGACCACTTCGAGGGTTTTGAAAGTGTTGTCAGTATGCTCCAGCAACAAGCCAGCGATTGTCGATGCTGGTGGGATGCAGGCATTGGCCATGCATTTGGGTAATCCGAGTCAGAGGCTTGTGCAGAATTGTCTCTGGACACTTAGAAATCTCTCCGATGCTGGGACCAAGGTCGATGGACTCGAGGGACTCCTTCAGGGATTGGTGCAGGTCCTTGCGTCCAGTGATGTCAATGTCGTAACTTGTGCCGCTGGGATACTGTCTAATCTCACGTGCAATAATCAACGTAACAAGGTCCGTAGTGATTTCCTTTTAAAATTTTAATCTTTCAAGGTAAACATACATTCGGAATATTTGTGGATTCGTTCCAATGGTTTTGTTAACCTTTCCATTGATCCCTAGGCAACAGTTTGTAACGTTGGAGGTGTGGATGCCCTCGTTCGCACAATTGTGAACGCAGGTGATCGTGAAGAGATCACAGAGCCAGCAGTCTGTGCCCTTCGTCATCTCACATCACGACACGTAGAAGCAGAAATGGCACAGAATGCTGTACGTGTCAACTACGGTATCCAGGTGATAGTGAAGCTTCTGCATCCACCATCCCGTTGGCCACTGGTTAAAGCAGTCATTGGACTCATTCGGAATTTAGCATTGTGCCCTGCCAATCATGCACCCTTGCGTGAACATGGGGCTATTCACCATCTCGTTAGACTGCTTGGGCGGGCATTCCAGGATACAGAAAGGGTAATTAGCCACTGGCCACGATTAATCATCGATTTATCCCGAAAACTATTAGATTATATTGGATTGACTTTAAAATTGAATTACAATTGAAAACTAAATTGTTGGAACAGCCTAGAATTTTCAATGCAGTAATTGTAAAATTATTTTTGTTATTTCTAAAGCAAAGAGCATCGGTGACGGGCATGGGAAGTCAGCAAGCGTATGCGGATGGTGTTCGTATGGAAGAAATCGTTGAAGGAACTGTCGGTGCACTCCACATCCTCGCTAGGGAATCACATAACAGGGCCATTATACGGGCTCAAAGTGTCATTCCAATCTTCGTTCAAGTGAGTATCGAATTATTCATTCATTATTCCAAGAATATTGTGAATAATTCATGGAATAATTGAGTGATGAAGTTGAAATTGGAAATGCAACATTAACATTCATCTCGTTTCTCTGCATATCTCTGAATCTAAAGGAGATTAGAGCAATATTTTTTTACCAATATTTATTTTAGCTCTTTACTCTCTCTACAAATAATACTCAGTTTCAAAGATATGCTCGATGAGTTAATTTAATTTGTTGTTAAATTGAATTGAGATTTTATACATTTTTTTTTTTCAAACTAATAGTGAATGACCTTTCACGTTTTATCCAATAGCTACTGTTCAATGAAATTGAGAATATCCAGCGTGTGGCAGCTGGTGTCCTCTGCGAGCTGGCCTCTGACAAAGAAGGTGCTGAAATGATAGAGCAGGAAGGTGCAACAGCACCTCTCACAGAACTTCTCCATTCGCGCAATGAGGGTGTTGCAACGTACGCAGCAGCTGTGCTGTTTCGTATGAGTGAGGATAAGCCTCAGGACTACAAGAAACGTCTCTCACTTGAGCTGACCAATTCACTATTCCGTGAGGATCCCAATATGTGGAATAATGCGGATTTCGGAATGGGTCCAGATCTACAGGTGAGACTTTAATATTCTCTCAATTATCTATATTTATTATGCATTTGAAGGAATGTTAGGGTGAATGACATCTCCATGTTATTATCCAGAGGTTCAAGCTTTCTCAGTTATCAGATCATGCAAGTTTAGTTCATTTATTTACTCTAGTTTAGCTTTTTATTGTAGAATTTAAATTGTTTGTAGAATTGATTCTTTAAACGTTGTCCAATCTACAGAGAGGCTACATTTCCCAGAAATATGGCAATATTCCCTTTTTGACGTCTGTTAACTCGTTTCTATAAATACGTGGTACGAAGGAATAGTTTATTTTGCCGTACCCATTTCCAAATACAGTTGTACCCCTCCAAAAAAAAAATCATCGCCATCCTAACCTCTTGTACAATAATCGATCAATCATTGTTATAACATTATGAATGTTTCGTTTATTATTTCGGCGGTTGCGGAATTGGTTGTGTTTATTTTCGCTGAGTATTCAGTTTTTTTTTATCCTTTACTACGTAATCTTCAGGACATGCTCGGCCCTGACCAAGGATATGACGGTATGTATGGACAGGGACCTCCTAGTGTTCACAGCAGTCACGGGGGCCGTGGTTATCAACCCCAAGGTAAGGAATCCTTCCATTTCATTTCATTAATTATTTTGTGTATTATTTCATCCATCACCAATAGACACTCCCCTTGTATACTCTTTTTTTTTTAACAAAATTGAAGTTAATTATGCGGTTATCCAAGTATTCTTCACCATTTCTTCTTATTAAATTCGGAGATAGTAGTAAGCTGTCTGATTTCTCCATTAAATTTTTGGAAAAATTCCTCGGTAATTCAAAATGAAGAACCATGTTGAGAACTTGTGTGAAATAATAATATCAGCAGCAATAATATAATAATAGACCAACATATTTTCAAAATACTTGGATATCTTGAAATGCCAACAATTCATCGAGTGACTAATAATCTAATCCATCTCCATTTAACATTATGTTATTTTGACAGCAGCATAACCCACGGAATTTATACTAAAATAACGGCTGTGCGAGTTAGAACAGAATCATAGGTGAAATATCAATTGAATTCTTGATGTGTTTTTTTGCTTGACATCACATTTTCTAGTTATTTCGTATTTTTCATTTTAGTGTGATGAATTGCTTTTTTTTGTACGTTCATAAATTTTTCATCAGCGTAGTGATTATCAATAAGATAATTAGTGAATTCTGCAAATTCTCGTTGTTCATTGTCGTTAGTTTTTTTTTTTTAATCACATGAGAGAGATTTTGCACTGCACGTATTTGAATGTGATGTGACATGAATAATGTTCGCATAATAATTCTGATTGAGAGGGCTGGATGGGAAATTTTTCCCCCTCAGTTGTGTTTCACATCCAAAAAAAAAAAATAATAAATATGCGGAGGGGAAAAAATTTCAAAGCCGATTGAGCCCCGGAAAAACGTCTCACACAGAAAGAGCAATCAACAAACTGCAAACGTGAGGCTTGTATTTTGCCATGCCTTTCATCTCTCCATCCACCCCCCCCACCCCTTTCTCACTCACTCTCTCTCTCTCTCTCTCTTTACCCTCACCTGTCAGATGTTCATTGAAGCCGAAAAATCAATAAAGCTTCACTTTAAAATGGACCATTTACCTCTGGCTCATCTTCAGACTGCTGGAGATTGCAAATGGCACCTAAAAGGGTTTTCTGTATTCAAGGGAGTTCATAATCTTTTGTTCGTGATATATGGAAAATAGAAGTGTCTGAGTTCGAAATCCATTCCTGAAAATAATTCCTGGAAACGATTTCGCAATTCCTGAAAATGCGAAAATGGTTATAACAAAAATTTCGATATACCCTTCAGTTCCGAAGGTATTTTCGAAAGGTTTTCACTAAAAATTACTCGGTTTATAACTTGAACCCCTTGGTTACTGCATTATTCGACTGATAATTACGAATTAATTTTTTTTTTCGCCCCCCTTTAAAGAGTGATTTTGTTAGAGTATTGATGTTTTTTTTCCCTACAGCCGGTTATGACCAGATACCAATAGACTCAATGCAAGGATTAGAAATAGGCGGTGGTTCAACGTATGGCGCAATGGACGCTATGGATGTGGCACACGAGGGTGATTTGAGCTTTGATCATCTGGCTGAGCTTCCAGCGCCGCCGCAAGATAACAATCAAGTTGCAGCCTGGTACGACACAGACTTGTAAAAAAATTATTGCCTAAAAAGGGTGATATTTTCTTTAAATTTCTGTGAGGACAGTCCGCGCTGGGGGCTCTCGAAACATTAACGAGGGCCGGGTGAAATAGTATTTTTTATTGAATTCATTTGGCATGACGTTCATGAATAAAATATCACCAATTGAAACAAGCCAGAGAATCAATCTTTGATTTGCTAGAATTTTTTCTTTCTTTTTTTTCTTTTCAACGAGGAGAAAACCCCATTCTCCCATTTTTTATTCATCAAATCCATATTTACCCATTCATTCGTGAATTTACACGTCAAGTGTTCTCGACAATTTGCCCAGAGTATTAATTGAAATGTAACTGACATCTTTCAATCAGCAATTGTTATTTTATTCATCAACTCAACGACGAATTAATCTTTATTTTAGCCAATGGCTAATGAATTCTATTATTTTTTCTATGTATTTTAATTTTTATATTATATATTATTATATACCTTATTGTCGTGTAATACGCAGGATATGCCTTCCATCCAGGCTCTTATTCATTCTTTCGTTGACGTTTTTTTTTTTGCAATTGATAAATAATCGACTGAGATAAGAGAGAATATTTGTTATACAAAATGAAATTACGTCTCGTGTATTTTTTATTTGTCTATAATCCCGTTAATGAGAAATCTTCGTAACATAGTATTATAAGAATTGGTACTGTTTTTTTCGAGAACCATTCAACACTCAACACGAATAAATTAAGGATAATCATCGCAATTTGAAGATTGACAGGCCATAATGATAAACAATCCCTTTTTCATGCGATTTCTGAGGGAATTTGAAGATAAACAAACTATTTATACAATTTTTCGTCCCCCTGAAGTGTTAGTGCAGCTCGACTATGAATTAAATTAATTACAATCACGTATTAAACATAATTATATCAATGGATTTTTCGCATTATACATTTTACAGGGTAGTGATGAGGAGAACACAAATCAAGATGAATTAAAATTAAATATATATTAATTTCATTTATCATTAATTAATATGTAGGTAAAATTGCACCGAACGGATTTTTTGGGTATCAGTACGAAAATCCGTGCGTCGTCAATGTAAATTAGGTTTAACGACAGAAGTAAAGGATAAACAACATGAATCGAATATGTAATTCGTACACAATTCGTAAAGGTATATGTATCGTTTAATTGTCCATACGAATACAATAAAAACGTCAAAAATCAATTTGTCCCTTGTATTTATTCAAAACTCCTTCAATTAATTATTTTTAATATTTCAGTCTTCCCAACATTAATTTGACGAACAGTCTCTCGTCAATTCACGGTCCCAGAAAGTGAAGCACAATTTCCCACCTGATTACTATTAAATCGTCATTCCTCATATTCAATAATCATTTTTAATCGCTGAAAAATAATTGAATCCATTACTCTCGAGAATGCGAACAAAGGGAACGAGATCAGATAAGCTATTAACGTTTTCTCCTCGAGTTTGAGATTGTGTCAGAATTGTTGTTCTCCAGTAAAACTACCGTGTAACAGCCAACAACGGAATTAATTCCGAGATGAGTTGCCGCGTGACTAACGGTTTTTTTTTGTTTTCTCTGTTGTACAAATTGAGTCCATCACTCTTCTCCATAGAAATGTAATTTCCATCGGTGGGGGGCGATGACACGACGAGTTTCCGGTTACGAACATAATCGGTGGAGCTACCGAATTTAATAGAAAAGATCACAATCAAAAAACTCAGTCATAAATAAATTGACATCGAATTTATTAACGAAGAGATAAAGAGTAACTGCGATTTAAGGAATATATCGATATCTAAGAGAGATAGCGAAATTTCTACAGATACTTTTTTTGTAGCTGTCACTCCACTCAGGAAAAGAGGTCAAGACACCAATTTCGCTATCTGCCTTAGATTCAGAGATATTTCTCTATTGGACCTGTTATCCTTTCGTTTTTGAATTCCATATATTCCAGGATAAAAAATTCGAAGAATTTTTTAGCCGGAGAAATTATTCATCACCATGACAACGGTGATGAATAATGAATTCTGCAGGAAAAAACTAAGGAAATAAAGAAAATAAAAAGGCATCAATGTCCCGGTCACTTTAGCGGCTGGGGCAGCGCGTTAGTATCAAATAAATTCAATACAAGAACTCACTCTCCAATCATAATCAACTGTATTAGAAACCCGATACGTCAGCTATTGAATGACAAATGCTCTTGACTCTCTGGTAATTCCAGACCGACATGTCAAATGACACCCTATACACTTGTTGAAATTGACACGTCCAATTCTATCTGAAATGTGCAAAGGGTTTTTATCACCATTTCTACTATACACCAACTGCAATATCACTGGTAAACAATCACATTATAAAGTTAATTCTATCATTCAATAATATATTATCGATTCCCATATTGCTCTTTCTCTCAATATTTGACATTAAATAACATCTCCTATTTATTCATTTATTTACATAGGTGAATTTTTTATTTGGTAATAAACTAAAGAGACGACGACGATGATGACTGAAAAAATGAAAAATCCATACAGTTAACCCACTTTAATCGGTGCGTAATGAATCCTCCCGCGTAATCAAGGAAATTCTCGTTGACCTTGTCATTTACCCCCTGATAAATCAGGATGACCCACAATACCTCAACCATGTGTTCGTCAATGTTCTCATAATCCGTGAAAGTGCATCAGTACACACACGTACAATTCTTGTCTCCTCGACCCACGACAGTCTCCCCCCCCCCCCCCCCCCCCCCCCCCCTCCCCCCCCCCCCCCCCCCCCCCCCCGACCATTTTACCTGGTGTTCTCCCCGACGGGCCCCATTCGCGTGCTCCGGAGAAATTGCCCGTCTCTCTCACCGGTGTTTCGAGCTGGAGAACGCCATGGCAGAGTATTCACCTGGTCGAGGTACCGAGCGCTTCGTTTCTTCATTTTCCAATTGAAATTATCCAAAATTTTATTAAATATTTTCAACCGCGAGAAGGAAACAGCTGTTTTTACACCTGTTACAATAGACCAATAGTGAATCACCACACAAGTCGGGGCAAAAATGTTGATTTCCCGAGATTCCAGTGCTCCATGACAGTGAGAACTTTTAAAATTTTTAGTCAAGCCGTTTGTATGGAGAGTAATTCTTTCAATTAAAAATAGTTAATGATTTTATTTTGTTACCATTCATTTTTTTTTGGTATACAATATCTGCGATGTGATGTGAATTGAATTAATTGTGGATTGAGAAGTGAATTGTGTTTATTGGGGTTTAATTGGAAAAGTACAAACCTGAAGATGACAGTCTCGATGGAGCACAAGCGGAAAACCTCGTGGGACTCAAAGGTACATCGAAACTTTCTAATTAATCTGGGATATCCTTGATGGTGGAATTATTGGGATCCTTCTGAGGAATTTTTACTTTGGAATGATGAGTAAGTTGTTGTTGACGAGTTTATGGAGTCGTTATTTTATGGAACGGAGTGATTTTCGAATTTGCACCGGGACAAATGGAAATGTCAGGCTGGAAATCGTCGAGTTACCATGGAAGATTAAGAGTCACCCTTCAATAGACTACGGTGAAAGTCTCAGGCATTAGACTAATGTTTCAGGATTTATTTCACATGCACGGGATCGCACCGGTGAGCCAATTCCAGGCGTTTCAAGAAATTTCTCATACCTTTGTCCAATAGAGTATTTTTGTGACGAAAGGTGAAAATTTTTATTAAATTCAGAGTAATTGCCAGCCGGAATTGTTGGAGTGCGTCTTTTTTTGTTCCAATTATTTTCAGGGAATCTTCGGTTGTTCTTGAATGAGCTATTTCAATGGTTATTGAGAAATAACATTAAAAATTACAACTAACATATAATTTTCTAGAGCAATACAAGAGGAACTCAGACCTAATGGATAATATATTATAAGTAAATGAATATTTGGAATGCATTTTTTTTTCTGAGTGAAAGAACACGCATAGGAATTTTCGGTTACATGCCATAGCACCAATTATTTCCCACTTAACCGGTCCCTTGGCGGAAGCATTCGTCCGCGGTTTCTCAAGTTAAACCCTGTCCCCCTGGAAACCACAGAATTAATAACTTCCTTCATTGAGTCTCGAAGAGATCGCATCAAATAAAAACACAACCTTCTCAATCATCGCCTTTAGCTCTACACCCACCCCCTGCCACCCACCAATTCCATTTTCCGGAAGGGATTGTCACCTATCGAAATCGAAATCGACAAATTTCGTATCTTTTCATCTCCAATTCCAGAACGAAATATGATTAAGGAATTTTTATTGCATATTTCTCTCCGTGTAAATGTGCTTGAAAAATTCAAATGTTGAGAATTCAGGTGCATGCGGTTATTGGAAACTGTAAAAAATATTGAATAGAAATAAAAATAAAAATAAAAATAAAAGATCCGGGGACAAAAGACATAAACGAAAAATCCGTTCTCTTCCTGGGATCGAGCAGGAGGTCGGACCTTGCTCTTGACCCCACGTCGTACGGTGTCTCCTACTCCTTTGAGCACGCATCACATTCTGGGGTATTAACGCACACAACCAGTGAAAAAAAGGAGACAACGAGTGAAGAAAAGATGGCATTTTACGAAGAACTAGGCTGACCGGAGTGGCGGGCTCGACGCTCTCTTCTGGGTTGGGTTCCTCGACATCTGCCGATGTAAAACTCGTTACCGTTATACTGCTCACAAATGCAGGGGTACCGCGTCATTCAGATTGCCTCTTAGCCTATATCCGCCCAAAAAAGTCAATCTTTGTTTTGAGACGTCATCTCAAATTGAGATTATCAAATCAGTGCTCAAGTGGTTAAGGAGTTATTGTTGATATCTTCCCATTTTTCCGATTTTTTTTTTACAAATTTATAGCAAACGGATGATAAAATTAAGATGAGAAAATATTTTTTTATAATTCCCTGTGGAGACCAGGCGTCATGGCTGGCCCATTCAGAGGAGTTTTCACCGGAAATGGCAATCAGAGGTGATCAATCTGGATGCCTTTGGATAGCTATCAATCACATCAACATCAGCATCAAGACCTCGTTGTTTTGATTCTCCTCGAGAATCGGGCTATCAAAGCCACTGACATTGAACTCAACTTTCTAATCATTAGTTTTTACGAGAAGATGCACAAGTCTGATTAGCAAATTGCCCGGTAAATTCCTGGATCTGAGATGATGATTAAGAAAAAATTTACTTTCCCTCCCCAAAAATCAAAGATGAGGCCTGATCAGAAAAAATTAGTTCTACATTGCAATGGCAATTTTATCCGCTTTAGCTATTCCAGTCGCTATACTATTTATCATTGCATTCAATATAATTTATTAACAAGCTCATTTCACTGGCGTTTGAATTTTTCAGTCCCATCAATTTTTTTATCAACAAATTAAGCTGATCAATTCCAATTACATGGAAAGTAGCGTGATTAATATAAAAATAAAGAAAAACGTTTCTCCCCAAAGGGAGATTGGAATTATCAGATCTCGTAAAATTCTCCTTTCAAGACCATTTTTCCGTCGTTGTTTTTTTCCTCAAGAAAAAAAGCATGCAGAGGTAAAAATGAAAGGTTATTGAACTGACCCGTGTAAACGAGGGGAGTTGTATTGAATGCAGTCAGCCACAACTTTCGTAATATTGCCCCTCGAGCTGCTTTTGTTGCCAATACAGTTCAACCATTTACGTAATTCCCATAGATCCAAATAGCGTAGAAATCATCTACAACAAAGAATCACCCTAATTCCGCTTTTCAAGTGCGCGTTCAAGTTCTTTGTTCCCTTGTCAGACAACAACACTGAGAAAACAATTTATTTTTCTCAAATATTTACGTTTCCAATGACGTATTGTAATACGAAGTTTCTCCAGTCGATTTATCTCGAAAGCATTTGATTTGAATTACGATTACATTTTAGTGAGATTTGAGATTTTTGATTTGGTTGGTTGTTTTTTTAAATAAAAAATTCGAAAAAAAGGCAAGATGTAATCCTCCCGGGTTTTCCCGAGCGTGAGCCACGCGTAACATTTGAACGAGGGCGTGGATCCCTTGTATGTGTATCCTCTCACTTACTCAGAAAATGTTCATTGCCTATTTTGCATCGTACCAGGGATATTACACGGGTGTGCACACTAGGAAATACCTGTGCACAGTCGGTTACACGGATGCTTACACACGAGAAATCGCTATCCACACTAGTATTTCATCGAAACATGAACGAGTAGCTGACGAAATATTTGAAAAAAAAAGATTTTCATTGAAAATATCAATAGTCTATGTTATCAAAACTAGATGCAAATACCAAATTTCGAGTCTATTATCTAAGTATTTAGATATTTTTTAAAATGGTAAAATTATCACATAATTTTTTGTTATATCTTTTATCGGTGCAGTACCGATTACTTCATTATTGATTTTCCCTTGCTGGATGATCTCGACCGATCGCCAGACAATGCAAGTAAACGTTTGCACCAACATAAAAACGAGGAGGAAATCGAATAAAGTAAAAACAATGGATAGATCATGTAATGGGAAGGCAAAGTTGAAGATTCTATTAAGGCAATAGTTGACGCCCACTTGCCTTTCTCAGCGATTTAATAGCGATTCACCAATCTTCCTTTCGCAACTTGAGAAAAGACCGGGAGATGCTTAATATGGGTGCAGCGAGAAATCCTAGATGATTCAGTGAAATGAGAGGGAAAATCAGGCGATTCATCGTGCGATAATTGATGATTTTTCCCCAATTACTGTTATTACTGATTTCCATTGCTCGCTGATAGTCTCGGGGTAATTGGTGATATTTTGTTCCAGATATCGGTCAGCACCGTTAGCACGAGGAGATTCAGTCGAGCTGGTACACCATCTTCTATCATATCCTCTGATAGTGATATTCGATTCACCAGGAAGCTGGGAGGACAGTATCGTTGCGGATGCTGTGTACTTGCTGCTTTTTTGTTGTTCCTTTTATTTTCCGGGGTGTCTATATACCTTGGATGTGAGTATTGATTTTTTTCAGCTGAAAAATTCGTCGAATTTATAAAATTCAACTTGCATGAATTAGGAACTCCGCATTGAATCGATAAACATTCTCGGCTAGCTGGATAGAATGTTAAAAATTCTAGGTGCTAGTGAGAGGAATAAATGAAGAATCCACGACCAATGAAAAATTGGAAGTGTGGTGATGCATATTGATGCGGTGGAGATCCCATTGAGGTCTTGCCAACGCGTGTAATGTAACGGTCTGACCGAGTTTATAGAGTACGTGATCAAAACGCGTAAACTTCCTCCGCCGACAGTTACCGGTTTTGGTGTCGGACTAGTCATTGATTCCAGTATCTGAATTTTTATTTTCCCCCATTGATACCGATAGCAAAAACCCTCTCTATTGATAAATGCCACCCCCACCCGGTTTTCTCTGCGCTACCCAAATGAGCAGTTATAATTATTGTATTCTCGTGAATTATCGCCTGAGGTGTTCACAGAGATGATATTGTGTACCTAACGGTCTGGCCGCGTTACCGACAATTCACAACCCATGAATCTCAATATGATTCATTACCTCCGACGATTGCACGACCTTTGGAGTGGGGAGCCACGGCCTTGCCATATTTTCCACTGAGAATATCGCATTTCAAGTTCTACCTATCGCAATAATATTCTTCCCTCTATTTCAAAACCATCCCTCAAAAATATTTGGAAAGTATCATAAGATAAAAAATAATAATGAAAACAGAATCGTCATGAAAAATTGCCCATTTTAAATACGCTTAATTATTTTATAGAGAATTTTAATAGTTATTAAGATAAATAAATCTGATTGAGGTCACCTATTCGAGAATATATTATAAACTCAATTCTCGTATTTAAATATACTTCTCGTGTGGATTCAAAGACCTGAATTCCAGCTGCATTTCTACATTTCTGCATAAATAAATAAACCTCACCTTCAATATTTATAATGAAGGAAAACTTGATTTCAAAGAGGATTGATATATAAATTTCCTGATGAATTTCAAATTATCAATGTATAAACAATAACACAATTGAAAAAATTATTAATTTATTGCAGATACATTTCTCGTCTCTGATCCTCCAAGCGATCAGGTGTTTCTCGCAACATTTCGAGTCACCGGTGGTGACTCCTTCACAGCTGATCTTGCTGACCCTTCAACTGAAGCGTTCAGGATACGTGTAAGAGAATATCGAGATCGCTTGACCCTTGCATTCAGGCGTAGTGATCTCAAGGTTTCCTTCATAGTCTGCGATATTCTAGCACTCGATGGAGTGGAAGGCAGTGACCTAGTGGTACACTTCGACCTGCGATTTGATCCCCGCTACCAGAGTATAACCGTTCCTGACGTCATGGCAATATTATCACGAGAGATAACTCCTGATACAGCCAAATATCTAGCTAATTTGACAATCGATCCGAAAAGTTTAGATGTGCAGGAAAGCATCGCCGCTTTGAACGCTCAGGTTGCGATGCACACAACGGCATCATCAGATCCATCCACCACGACTCCACCACCTCCGAGAAGCTGTACGAACCACATAATATCATACTGCAAACACCTGACATACAATACCACCACTTATCCCAACATTTTTGGACACCGAGGGGCAGAAGAGCTTGAGGCAGACCTTATTGCCTTCAGGGAACTGGTAGACGCAGAATGCTACACCCTAGCTTACGATTTCATCTGCCAGGTATTGCAACCAAAATGTATCAGTGGAAAATCAAAAATTTCTCAGCAAATGCCCTGCCAGAACTTCTGCCGGGAATTCTGGTCGGGATGTGGAAATCGATTGCCAGAGCGGTTGAAGAAGTCATTGGAATGTGGAGCATTCCCAGAATACGTAGACGAAGGGAGTTGTAGGCCTAAACCAGGATGCGTGAGGGATCTACAGAACAAAGCCCTATCCCCTAGAATTTGCGACGGAATCCTCGATTGTTCTGATTTAACAGACGAGAGAAACTGCGCCTACTGTCCAGAAGGACATGTGCACTGTGGAATTGGAAGGACTTGCATTCCAGTGACCAAAAGGTGTGATGGGAGGTCAGATTGTCCCAATGGCTATGATGAAAAAGATTGTCTCTCGCTAGCGACAAACCTAGAATCTTTAAAATCCCAGACGATGAGTACCGTCCTTCCAGCAAGGTACACCTCAGAGGGATACGTCGTGTTCAATGAGAAAGGAACAGTCGGAAAACTTTGTACAGAAAATCTCAATGCCACACTGCCCGCCACAGAAATGGACACTGTCCTACAGACAGCAGCCGCTTCCCTCTGCTCTCTCCTCACATTCAATGGAGTACTTTCTGTGGAAGTGAGGACACACGATGAAGACAATGTAGAGTATGTGCACATGGAGGATCCATCGGCATCCGAGATAACTTTTGTCAGAGGACCATGTCCAAGTCGACAAGTTATGTATGTCCAGTGCGGAGCATTGGAATGCGGTGTGCAGTCTCTTAGAAGTAAGCCCGCTACCAAAGCCCTGAGCAAAATAGCTGATCCTGGTGATTGGCCCTGGCACGTTGCCCTCTTCAAAGAGGACATCCACGTCTGCGATGCAACTCTCGTGTCTTCAAACTGGCTCTTGGCCACAGCATCCTGTTTTCAAGGCCAACCGAGAGCAGAGTGGTCTGCGAGGTTAGGCACTGTCAGATTGTCTAGCACATCACCGTGGCAGCGAGAACGAAGAATTGTTGGAATGGTCAAGTCACCGGTGGAAGGAAGTACCATGGTTCTTCTGAAATTGGATCGAGCCGTTACTGCCTACTCTGATTTTGTTCGACCTGTTTGTCTACCATCAATTAAGGAACCTGTCTTAATGAATAATTCATACTGCAATACTCTTGGATGGGCGAGGAATCGTGATTTACTGCAACGTGTTGAGTTGAAACAGAGTGCAATGGCTAAGTGCGAGAACATAAGTATTGCATCTGTCAATGGCATCTGCACTGAATCCGTGTATCCCACGGAAGACTGTAATGAGGAGGAATTAGCTGGAAGTTCAATGCTATGTCTCTTAGCTGATGGCAAGCGTTGGGCCCTCACTGGTGTCAGCAGTTGGAGAATTGCCTGCTCCAAGACTGGACATGAGAGACCTCGACTCTATGACAATGTCTCCCCGAATATTGCGTGGATAAAATCGACTATCCATTGAACAAACCCTCGTCGTGGCTCTTCCGTTTGTTTATTCAGTTGGACGTTTCATTGATTTGGGGATGTGGTTTCCATTATCTACTGAGGAAAACTCAAGTGTTGTCATTCCGTCATTAAAAGATTCGCCAAGAGCTCTAACATTCGGAATCTTAATAACAAAGAGTATAAACTATAAAGGGAAAAAAATATCGAGCACTCAAAATTTCTTTGTTGATAAGCGGTCCAACTGAGGCTAAACGGCCTAAAATCCTTGCGGGTTTTATTATCTTTGCAATAAATCATTTTTATAACTGAATGTGTATGTCGGAGACCTATAAAGAGACCTATAAAAACAGTACCAATTACGCGTATGAAAAAGTTGATAAGATAATCTATTCTTTTGTTTCGAATGCTTAGTGGATTTTTATTTGAAGTCTGTATGAAACTTCATTGCAATTTTTGGACAAATTATTAAAATCTACTGGAGTTTCAATACGCGAATTAATACAAAATGCTCTTCGTTACCAAATCACCAACGGAATATTTTCTCATGTCAGTAAAAATTTTATTCACGAGACGACGAAAATTTCCTTTATATCGTGATAAAAAAAAAATTAGAATTCACTCGTGAAATTTATTTTGTGCAGCTGATGAATTAAGAGGCTTGACAGAAGCGAGGAAATTTCTTTCGACATGGAGAATTACAAAAAATGTAGACTTACATCTGTAAATAATCTAAAATCTATGAGATAGATCCTATGCAGTGAATCTGAGTGGACTCACTGCCAATTGTTAAGATATTTTAATAGTTTTATATGATTATTGTATTTTTATGAGAACAAATAAAGTACAATCTCGTTATTCATTAATTGGTGTTATCACAATTTACACGTTATAACAGAGGCATTAAGGCATAACTTTAATTGGTCTTCTTTTAACTCGAAGAAAGTGAGTGTTGCAATGCGGGGGATTGCAAGTTGAACGAGCAAAATAGCGTCAGTCGAGAGAAAATTGTTGACGGGAGTGGAAGTACGTCTAATACGCAAGTGCAATCTCGCATCGATTCGAGTACTCAACACTCAATACACAACAAGAGTTGCAATAAATCTAGAGAGAGCATATTGGCTATACTGGCTTAAAGATGGCAAGTGTAAAAAAAAAAATTCAGATATAAAACTAATTCAATTATTTAATGGTTACGTTTTCCTGAATTTTTTCTGAATCTACGAAAAATAGTGAAAAATAACGATAAAAACATGTGGGGGATTAAGTATTTACATTTGATTTCAAGGCAACAGATTCAGTGGAATCAGGACTATCGAAGATTGATCTACGATCCGATGATCCTTTGGACCTCTTCGAAAAGTGGAACAATGAATCGAAAAAGTCTATTATTTGTTTATCCACTAGTTCGGCGTGAGTACATATTCGAAATAGGGCAATAAATCTGTAAAGTCATGCACAAGAACTTGTTAAATCGACTGAATATAGAAAATTTTTTGCTGATCGCTATGTTCTGAGTAATTAGCGACAGTGAAACCGCATGCATAATTATTTCAAAGACCATTGGAATAGGTCCAGGCGAATTTTTAATTTTTTTTTCAGAGACAATCGACCTCATTCAAGACACGTAATGTTACGAAAGTACGATAGAAGTGGATTCGTTTTTGTCACGGATAAGAGAAGCCGCAAAGTTCAGGAATTGGTATCACATTTCGGAATATATGAAATTTTATATGTGTAAGCTATAGTGATTTCCGCTTCTTCTTTTATTTCAGAATGAAAATGGAATGCGCGCATCTATCTGTATTTATTGGATGTTCACTAATGACGAGAAGAAAGTCGTTCTGCGACAGGTGAAACAAATTGAAACTTGAAATTTCACTGACAATTATGATAACAGTAATATTTAACAATTATTCTGAATTTATAATTAATTCAACACTGAACAATTCCTTCTTCAAAAATTTCGTCAATTGACAACTTCTATTTTTTTAATATAAACTATAATATAATGTCAGGGACTCCAGGGATTATTATTAATGCCTTACAGTTTCCAATATCATAAATTATATAATCGGATTAATTTAACTATCCAGGCGAGAATTGAAGGAAAAGCAGAAATTTGCCCGAAGCATGAAATACAGAAATTTTACGATGCAGATCCTCTTTACTGCAAAATTCGCGCACATCTTTGTCATCAAGATGCTCTCGTTGATTGGAATCAATTGAACAAACGACACGACCAACTACTCGAGGAAGCTAAAATGAACAATTCTGCACTCCCTATGCCTGATCATTTGTCAGTAATGCCTCCAGATTTATTCCTCTTCAACTTTCTCAATTAAAAATCCTCGGTGGTCATCTCAATTGTATCTTCCTTCTGAAAGTTTATTAAACCGAATAAAATCAATTGTTTCAGTGTTGCATACAAACTCGCACCAGACTCGATGGAATTCTACGAAGCCAAAGGCAATAACACTATTGCTGATCGATTTGTCTTCTGTAAAGACTCGAATGGACAATGGACTCATCAAAGAATCGCTGCATGAATATTTATTCATCGTTAACATGACTCGCACTTCCTATTTCATATAATACAGTGTATTCAATAATTAGTGAAAGTGAAAGTGAAAGTACACGACATTTCAAATTATAATTGTATTTTCAAAATAATTGTATTTTCAAAATAATTCCAATTTTTTTTTAGTAAATGGCTAATCAATAAAAATATCGCTTAAAAACTGAATACTTGAAAATCGAAAACATATCCAGTGAAATTGAAAAACTCGAAATATTCGAAAAAATATCAGGGGAGCATGAGGATCGAGGAGGTATTCACTGGAATTTAAAAATTCGAAATTTTCAAAAAATATCAGGGGAGCATGAGGATCGAGGAGGTATTCACTGCAATTTAAAAATTCGAAATTTTCAAAAAAATATCAGGGGAGCATGAGGATCGAGGAAGTATTCACTGCAATTTAAAAATTCGAAA